ATCGCGTTCGATGAAGTCAAAATTCTATCTCATTTTATCGCAATTTTTTGTTCGATAGTATTGCGATAAGATCGCGATTTTTTTGCAAATTGATGGTATGAAATCGCCATGAAAGATTGTACCCAGAGAATTCTTAAAGAAACCGAGATGGATTTCTGGCAAAGATCAGCTGGAATCTCGAGGAGGGATCACGTAAGGAACGAAAGAGTGCGTGAGATAATAGACGTCGAGTAGCACATGAAATCATGAAACTATGACCAAACAGCTTGTCTGGTATGGTCATGTTCAACGAATGGCGGATGACAGATTGCCTAAGAAGGTACTGGATTGGGTTTGGCGTAGGGTAGGGGACGCCCGGCAAAATCCTGGATAGGTGGCAATCCTAGATGTAATGACGAAGTGCAATATACCAGATGACCTCTGGGTCGATAGACAAGGATGGCGATTAGGTCTGTGTCGCAGTGTCGCACAGCGCTTGGGCGCGTTATAAAAGCGACTTACATATATGTATAAATGTGGGGCTTGGAGGACAAGGCGCATAAGTGCAGTTTTTCCTATTTTGAGAAATGCGTGTTTGAAGTTTCGAAATTACATGGACCCTTATGACGGAAAGAAAGTTCAAACCTACTTTTTGATGCTTAAAAATTGGAATTAGGAGACGAATTTTTCACAGAATTTGCATTAAGACTAGTTTCACTTGAATACAGTATTATCTCATTTTTTTCGAAAACTGCACTTATGCGCTCTATCCTCCAAGCCCCTCATATATGGTATGAAATCGTAATTTTTTATCCGATAATATTGCAATGAATCGATGTAGATAAAATTGAGATACATTCTCCGATCAAATCGCAACTTATTGCGATCACTGCTACTTGGGTATTTGGGGGAGTTCAGGTATCTGGATACGATACTTCTCGTCGTTCCGATCAGTGGCGAGACGTGAATGATCGATTATCGATACTTCCTTATCTTAATCTATGGTAAAGAATCGATTATTAAGGTGTTCGCTGCGAACACCGTGTTGATTCTTTTTCATAGGTTTAAATGGAAGATCAATCGATATATCGCAAAGCATGCCACGCCACTGGTTCCGATGCTCGGTAATACGGCCGATCCGTAGCTTTAAAAAAAAATCCTCTTTTTGTTTTACGAAGCTGTATAGGTATACTCCCCTTTTTTGCAACAGCTCATTTCTAATATTGCCCGGCACAGTGAAGACCGTCATCAATATCGTTCCACACCATATTACAGGATGCCTTTGAAATTGAGTGACGATCAAAGAAATATTCATGAACGGAAAAAAATAAATAAATAAAAAAAATATCGCATCAAAATTAATGGTGTTTCCCTTGAGCCGATGCTTAGGATAGGTTCGCCACCTCTCAAGCAACGCTGCAATTTCTGCTTATTAAATTGTGTCGATATATTTTACTGCGGTTAAATTGATTCTTAATCATACAGGCTACTCCGGCTACGCCAATATTTATTTTGTTTTAAATACAGTTTAAAAGACCGACACATCATTCGTGGTAGTACAATAATTAAGCAATTTGACATCGAATTTGTGAAGATTTATTGAGAAATGTAGAAAGCTGGATACTTATCGCCACAATGAGTATGAGAAAGGTAGCGACATGCGATAAACCTCTTTTACCCAAAGCATCGATTAGTACCTAGAGTTCGTTTATCTCATTGTCAGTGTTTGTTTCCTTAATTTTTGGTATACGTTCTCAATCAAGTTTCACGAATGCGATATCATACCCACACAATATGTATACACCCTCAAACGTTATGTTTTGCATAAATTCGTATAGGTGACATTATGACGGTGCATCATGATAATTCATCGTAACTGAGACGAAGGGAAGTAACCACACTCCACCCGTGTAAAATTTACCCAAAGAATTCAATTGTTTACAAGAAAATTAGACGAAGTCCACATTTCAGGAGGGACAGCGCAAAACGCGCGATTATTATTACTGGTGTATTTACCAGAATTTATTGTGTTGTAAGTCCGCCTTACACCCAGGAAATTACATACGTGTATTTGTGTTTGTGATGTCACAGATTTTCTGTCGCATTCAGGGCCGGATTTATCTACTTGCCGCCTGTCTTTTGCCGCCCCTTTCTCATTCGTTTTGAAACATCAATAAAAACCATCAAATGAACGTGCCAACGGAGGAGGGGTGCATAAGACGCGTTTACTCGTGTTGAACACATTTTTCGGGAGAGCCCTGTCAACAATACTGGCAAAAGTTCACGGAACTTTGCGCGAAAGTTAAGTTTCGTAAACCTATCTTTGTGTGGACAAGCATAAATGTGGATTAATGATTTTAACTTCCGCCGCCGCGCCGCACAGACAGCACCGAGTTTGGCGCAATGCGTGAAGTATTCAGACAGTCTTGTAGGCACTATGAGTTTCACGCCGACCGCTCCTGAACCAGAGACAAGAGACCCTCCACTAGTATCTTGGCCATGGTGGAAGCTTTTACTTTCGGGACTTCAGCATTCTACTGTTGACTTACCTACATGGTTGATGTTCAACAACGTGTTGGCAGTTTCGTTTTGCAAACAAGCCGAAAATGGCCGACGTTTGGGAAAGTTGTTTGGCTCATGACGTTATCCGAAGCTCATCATCGACCATGTAGGTAAGTCAACAGCCGAAACTAGGGTGATGACTGTTGCTCCCTAATAATTGTCCATAAGGAATTGTTGAAACCCCGAAAGTAAAAGTTTCCACCTGTCGCTAGGAGGCCAGTGGAGGGTCTTTTGTCTCTGTGCTGAACGCATTGTGTTTGATGCAATGCGTGAAGTATTCGTGCAGTCTTGTAGGCGCTAATATGTGTTACATGCCGATCGCCGCGCCAAGGGCTTCTCCTTTTCATCTCAAGTCCTCGTCATCATTTCTCTCTAAGTCGCGCAGTTCCAGGCCAAATTGCGTGTTTGGTTTCTCTCTTAACTCGACTAATTAAAGGTGCTTTCTCTTCTATCACTGAAAGACGACAAAATTAGAAATTACTATACTCTCAGGAAATGAGAGATCTTGTCGCCTTCTCTCGTTTGTAATTTTTTTTCTAAATTCGATTTTTTTATACCTACATTTAAGAAAATCGCAAAATTTGCCGCCCCCTATAGATTTGCCGCCATGGGCCGTGGCCCATGTGGCTACCTCCTTAATCCGGCCCTGGTCGCATTTCCTTTAGTCGAGAGACCAATGGTAATCTTTTTTTCTAAATTCCTTGCAACTCATTGGGACAAACTGCTCTTTGAAAATTTTACCCTTCAACGACAAAATTAATTTTTCCAAATCGGAAAAAAACAAAAAAATCTAAACAAAGGACGGCTCATCGAAGTAGATTATAGAAAACTTTACATATCATGCTCAAATATCCATTTTTTTTTGCAATTTCGAGGGCCGACAGCGTTGCAATGAATTTAAATACTGCATTTATGGGAAACTCGACATTGTTGCGATAAAAATCAGTAATGATTTACTTCGTCCCCACAATGGACAGCGCTGGAAGTAAATTCAGATGGTAGAGAAACAATCAAAGCTGCAGTTAGTGTCGCATACGACGGATACTAAACGAATTTCATTATAACGCCTGGGTGCAAGATGCAACTATTCGGGCTCTATGGATGTCCATATTGCATACACACAAAATTGTAGGCGTTTTGATTTCAGACACGTCCCGCCTCGCAAACGGCGCTCAATGGAGCGAGTTAGAGAGGAGTCATACAAAATGGGAAAACACTAATAGCTTAGATCTATATCAATACAAAATTTATAGATTGTAGAAGTTGCTTGATTTATTTTCTCCCGCAAATTCCTTTAAAAAGAAGCCCATACTATTTATAATGTAAAAGAGTTAACATCAAAATAAGCAGTTTTAGTTGGAAATTTTGTGTCCAACTTCTCTGATGAGCCTGATTCACAGTGTAGCGGGTATTACTGCGAGGAATGAGGATATAAAATGACACAGTGGCCTCAATTCTTCATTCATACTTTGAAGATATCTCTTAGACATGAATGATTACTCTACAAATCATGCCGAGCACACCGCGATATCAAAACTGAAGCACAAAAGATGCTCACATACGACGCCTGTGCGCAACTATTCGCGACAGGGAGATGTTTTGTGGTATGATAGGTAAATAATTTAAAGCGGTCTGCCATTTTGAATCCTCGAAGTTAAGCCCGCCGCACCAGGCCTCGGGCCGCGGGTAATGTGGTGTGTGTCTGAACAGTTAAAACGCCTTCACTTGCGAGCGCATGCAACACGGACATCCATGGAGCCCGAATAGTTGCATCCAGAATTAAAAAAGAAATCTGCTTGGGTTCATCGCATTAGACACTAAGTGCGGACGTTTTGATTGTTTCTCTTGCACGGTAACTTAATTCCAGCGTTGCCAATGGAGATGTTGCATGTGTGAGGAATTTGCGATTTGACTGTTGATTCTCATATGAAAGTTCGCGAAAAACAGGATGGTGCCTCTGGTTTTCTCTGAAATCAACTCCCAAGCTCAAAAAAAGCTCTCAAGTTGAGGCCAAAATGGAGAGGATATCTCACGCTATCCTGAGAGTCCACCTCTACATCAAGACAAACTCTCCATGCAAAGATAGGGAGCAAATACGTTAGCAGTGTTGCCGTGTTTTCAGTTTTGGAGTCCCCGAATAAAGTGGCAGCCCTGTCAATGTATTTGCTCCCTATCTTTGCATGGAGAGTTTGTCCTGATGTGGAGGTGGACTCTCAGGATAGCGTGGGATATCATCTCCATTTTGGCCTCAACTTGAGAGTTTTTTTGAGCTTGGGAGTTGATTTAAGAGAAAACCAGTGGCACCATCGTGTTTCTCGCGAACTTTTACATAAGTATCTACAGTCAAATCGCAAATTCCTCACACATGCAACATCTCCATTGTAACGATGAAGTAAACTGGTGGCGTCTGAGGTGCCTTGCGTAGAAATATTGGAGGGAGACTACATTTTTGAACTTACTTGTGTGAAGAGGATCATCGTGGTGACAGGGTAGATGACATTGACGAGTGCAAAAGTTCGCCAAGGCATGATGGAGCCGAGGAAGAAGGTAGAGAGGTAGCCGAGCGACACGGCCGAGCACATGATGCAGAGGAGGGAGCCTCGAAGATGGGGCTCGCCGATCTCGCCGAGGTAGGCGGCGATGGGGGCCTCGCAGAAGCCGATCCCGATGCCCATGACGAGGACCGCGGCGAAGAGGCCCGTCACGGAGGAGGCGTAGTAGAGCAGGATCCACCCGACGATGAACGGCACGTTGATGAGGGTCATGCTCCCGCGGCGCCCGAACTTCTCGCTCAGGAACCCGGAGGCCACGCTCCCGAACGGCTGACACAGGAACAGGATGCTCCCTACGACCAAGCACAAATACGCAAATCTCAGTCGCCGTCGTTTAAATATTAACGAGGGACAAAGAGAGACCCTCCGCACTGGCCTCCTACAGGGGTGCAGAAACTTCCCATAATTACGCGACCGGCCGTTCGCATGCCGTTCGTGTGAAATGGGGGAACCCATGTGAGGACGAAAAAATTGGGGGAACCTTGGGAGATTTCTCCTTTTAGGGTTTAGAGGGACCTTGACTGTTGAGTGCGCTACTTTGAAGGAACCTAACTGTCAAGTGCGCTGTTTTCGGGGGAACAAAACATTCAAGCGCGCTGTTTTGGGGGAACCAAACTGTGGACCGCGTTACTTTATGTGTCCGGCAAACTTCTGTGAGAACTTAAAATGGGGGAACCTAAATTTATTTCGGGGGAACCCTTGGAAGTTTCTGCATCTCTGGCCTCCTAGTGTCACACCGGAGTCACACCCTGAATGTGGGAGCTGAATGTGGCTTGAATGTGGAAGTCATCGGTCCGATTGGGTCCGATGCCTGAATTTTGCGCGTGTCGCGCATAATTCAGCAATAAGGCTCAGCGAACATCGGATAATGTCGGATTTGTGTGAACTATTCGAATGGATGTGATTAAAATCTGGATAGAAACAACTCGAATTTGCGAGATTTCAGCCGTTGAGCGATGACTGTTGACGTCCATATACAGCTGCTATATTCAGCGTGTGATTCCGGCAACAGGGGGAAACTTTTGTTTACAAAGCCTCAACACTTATGGGGGGGGGGGGG